TCTGTGAGAGGGGCGTGGGTAAAAAGAGGTGCTTGTGCTAAAACCAACAATATCTTCTACTACTATTGACACGAGTAAATTACAATAGTCCTGTCTTTGTAGTACTAAAGAACACACTGCGCTGGATTAGGAGATGTTAGGACTTTAATAACTGAAAATCGTAAAGTGCCACCCCCACCCCCCGCAAAAAATGTAAACTCCAAACATAACAACATACATTAAAAGCTAAAAAGATGGGAAAGTACTAGTTTTGCCATCATTCCAAATCAAAATATTCGTACATGCAGAACGGAATCGTGTTATATAATTCATTCTATTTCATCAACAATACTTATTATGAATCTATTTGTGGTGCTCCTGTAGTTCAATACCTAAGTAAGCAATGTGAATGGTTCTGCTTGCCAAACATTAAATTAGTGAATATTAAATTATATTTAAGAGCAATGGTGCATTTCAGGCAACATTTAAATAGTTTGATCTTTATTTAAGAAAATCAGAAGAAAAAAAATAAACATAAAGCTGTCGAATAATAGTCATCTTATTTAATATCATCATTTATCACTCTTCAATTTAATGCTGAGGTATATTACCAGCCTTGTCATATTATGTAATTATGGGTTTAAAGGTCAAGGTGACCATCTATATGTACACATATTATTAAAGAAAAAATTATTTTAAAAAACACAATGAACTAAAATTCTTCCCAGAAGACATATAATTTAAAACTAAAGTAAAGTAGACATGAGTTCATTAAAATTCAAAATATTCACTGACAGAAATTAGAGGGGTGCAAATTCATGGGACGTCATCCCCACTAAGCATAGTGGAAAAGACCTAAGTGATCATATAAGATGCATTATGTTTCAAAACACAGATAGGAAATATATTCTTTACTATAAATTACTCTATAGATGGTAAATTGAATACATTTAATATATGTATTGCTTAGATACGAACCAAAGTGCAAAACATTCCACCTAACATAGTCAAATCTTCACCCTTTTGCCCTTCCTCCCTTCTTGGCAACAGTTGATATATCTGAATATATGTTTAATATCCCACTGAAAGTCACTCCGTCGTTTACAAAAGGTATTATCTTTGCTTGTTATCCACAAATAAAACCATATGATTGCAATTATAGTAATGTTAATTTTAGCTGCATATGTGGAGTCACTGTATTGCTGTAACTGTCTATAGGAATCACAGTACTAATTCAGATCCTACAGTAAATCTATGCAAACACCATGATACTAAATATTCAATAACTTAAAATTTCTGAGTGCCCATGATCAAACCGATATTTATCATCATAGATGAAACCTGTATGTCAGCTTTCGGCACCTGCATGTGTTTGAAACATGTGCTTTCGATTCCGCAGCAATGTGCTAATTTTAGTAATGAGTGTTCCATACTCAAAACTGTTAAAGGACTGAAATTTCATCAATGAAACAATGTCTTTGTTTACTTACAACGAGGATAAGCTATCAAAAGATTATTTTTCCTAAAACATAACTTACATTATTAACCAATCCTGGCCACCCAAACCCATATGTACTCTATTTTCTGTTCCCCATATCCAGGCTGGTTCCCATTTTTCCGTACCATTATTACCATGTGTCCTACCGAGTAGGGGGTGCTCAGTTCTTCGCGCTCTAAGGATAATCCGAACAGCGCTGATGTTAATGTCTTGAAAATTCCATTGTAGGTACTTTCCCTGTCCAGATAGGAAACAATTAATATATTCCAGTCTTACAAATACTAAAGAACAAATAAGAGTTTTTAAGTGGCATCAAATAAAAGAAAAGTATGAACTGGAGCTGATGCCTCTCTGCATCAGATATGCAGCCTTGGAGCTGATGCTTCTCTGCTTCAGATATGCAGTCTTGCAAACGTTTATCACATGTTGATGTAATGAGAGAGAACCGTCAAGATTCAACCCTATGTTTGGTGCTGTTTAAATGTAATGTTGGTATTTAGAAATGCATATTGCTTGAGGTAAGGGACGTCAATGAGAAAGTCTTTGAGCGATTATCTGGATGGCATCAGTGTCATCATCATTCATCTGCAGTTTATTACATGACATCGACGATTTCTCATTAGAAGTGCACATTCCTACATTTTGGATGGTAGACTCAACTTTAACTGGTCACATAGATTTATAGATTTGAATATACTCAGCATACAATTGGTTACCCACTGTCGATCTATGACACTTGAGAATAGAGAAAAATGGGCTGTGAACAGACCCATATAAAACATTAAAACATAGATCAGCTGGACTGGGACTTTATCCATTTTCGGACACAATTTGTGTCCTGTTGACTAAGTAGAAATTGAACCATACTAAGGCCGTATCCTGAATGTAAAGTACAGGCCGCAGAGAGTAAAGCAATATACCATTGTATACTTAGCTACGATGTCGTGGCTTCAACATGTTTTGTTGCGGTTGAGGCTACGAACTGATCCCATATCATGTACTGGAGCAAAATAAAAATCCTCACCTATGTCAGAAACACAAATAGTTTAGAAATCTACCAAATAAATTTAATCATTTTGTCAAAAAAGTTTGGCTTATTTTGAATTTATTAAGCCCTTACACGGTAAAATAAATTGGCGTAGTTATGCTACCCTCACCGTGTCCACCATGACAGATAACGCGAGACTCTCGCCGTGACCCCTTTTCTACATAAGGCTGGCCAGACTATACATGGATATTCTACGCTATGGTATTAGTTGTTGAATGACATAACGCGAGATGGAGAATGGCCACTTGCATAAATTGCGGAATACGGTTTTTTGAGAAAATAATTGCTTCTTGGTGCAATTTCAAAGTCACCCGTAAACCGTATTTACTTTTAATGCGAAGAATTTCCGACTCAAACCGCGCCATATTATTTTACTATGATCTGTTTACGTTTCCAAATAAGGCATTAAGGTCCTTATATGGCACACAAATAAACGAGGCTGAGAACTGAAGTAGGTATTATTTGAACTAATATGGCGGACGATCAAAACGAAAATATTGGATAAGAAAGGTAAACGAGATTTTACCACTATTTCTACAATGATTTGCGATTATTCCAATAATAAATAAGAAGACTACTCAATTTATTTCATAATATATCAAAAAACTTGTTCAGAATTTTTAATATTTGGCTGAAAAAAGAGCCGGGTGTGAATCACACCCGGCTGCTCCAGTAACACACATAGACTCATCATGGGGCCCCGAGTGGCCGAGTGGTCTAAAGCGCTGTCCGTTACGGATCACTGCCATCTCACCTCTGTGTGGGTTCGAGTCTAGGATTCGGCGAATGTGGATATGTGAGTAAGCTTGCCAGTAGCTTCTCGTGGGTCGGTGGTTCTTTCCGGTGATTTCCCGGTTTCTTCCTCCACCATTAATACTGGCCGCCATGAATAGCCTATCTTGTGCTGAAAATGGCGTTAAGCACAACAACAACAACATAGACTCATGTTAGTACCGTGTCCACAAAAGGACTAAGGTACTAATATTAGTACTATTGTACACTGTGTCAAACGCAGCAAACAAGTCCAAGAGGATACGGTTTGTAATATTTCGACTATGTTTGCTAAAATCAAATTATTATTTTGCCAAGCATGTCCATATTGTAAATGATTCGGTTCATCTTAAGAAATAGATATGAAAGTATTTATTATAGTTGCTTTTTAAACTGTTGTTACAAACGTTGAATAGAAAAGAGAATGCAGAACTATTTTTATCATTTATGTTTATCTACAAGGTTTGTCCGTCAGGTATTCACACTAGCAAATAGAATACAATGAAAATTCAATACAATTGAATTTTGTCTGTGCTAAAGTCGTTTGAACAATCAATTTCCTGGAAATGTTCTTAATGGTGGGTAAAAGGCAATAAATGATGTTAGAGAAATCTGCCAGTTGGATAAAGACAAAGAATAGCTCATATTATATATATGATCCCTTGGTGGATCCAGTACGCTTGAAAGGGTTGTTATTCGCCATATGATTTGTATTCTTTATATATATATATATATATATATATATATATATATATATATATATATATATATATATATATATATATATATATATATATATATATATATCATATCATATCATATCATATCATATCATATCTAACAACGGACGTACTTTCCAGGCTAATCTACTTCCGTATTATTGTATGCCAAAGTTGAATACGTATGAACTTCATTTAACAATAATGAATATATCTTACCTTGGCAACAAGTTACAAAGATGATGTTCATTAACTAGTTGGAACTGACTGTAGCGAGTTGTCCTTGTGTAGAAAACTCTGCAGAGTTACCTAGTGAATTAAACAGACTGCATTTTATAGATCTGTTTATATCTATTTATATAGTGTAACATTGACCTTGTGCATGGGGTCATATAATATGTAACACACGATGCTGCAAAGGACGTGATACGGAAAACGCATAGTTACTACGAAACCGCATAAAAAATATTTTTAAAATTTTTTTTTAAAAAAAACGCCTTTTGGCCAATAACCAAATTCCATCCTGAACGGTTTTACATATTTATCTAGCCTTTTTGACATATATCTAGACATGTAAAAGAATGTAAATAATAATAATAATAATAATAATAATAATAATAATAATAATAATAATAATAATAATAATAATAATAATAATAATAATAATAATAATAATAATAACAATAACATTAGCAACAAAAATGTGTACTTATACAGAGCGGTTTTTTTTTACACGTACGTGTGGGTGGGTGATTTGGATTTTGAACGTAGCTTTAACAATTTTTCAGTCATATCAGCTACGATGTTTGCAGTGCGACAGTTTATACTGATGTCTATGACTGTGGCATCATGCAACAGACATGTAGCATGATGTCCCACCCAGTCACATTATCCTGACACCAGGCCAACCAGTCCTAACACTTACCTCTTAATGCTGAGCGTTAAGCTAGGCAACTGTTAGTGCCATATTTGTAAGTCTTTAGTATGACTCAGCCGGGGATCGAACACACGGCCTCCCGCACACGAGACGGACGCTCTAACAAGTAGGCCACCAAAGCGATATTTTCTTCACATACAAAATAATGTAAATAATAACAGTAGTAATAATATGCACTTAGTACAGTAGCTAATCTTTAGAAGCTCTGGGCGCTTTACAATACTAGATAACTCATAAAAGCATCTAAAACGACAAGACTACAAAAACAAACGTCATGAAATTACAAAATACTGACATTAATTAAGGAAGTGAACATTAATATTTACTTTGTTCTTGTAGTCGAAATAGGTGAGTTTGAAAAAAAAAAATAAAAAAACAACAAAAAAAACTCTTAAATGAGAACAGTATTTAAGATCAATGGAATATTCGATCCATGAAGATGGACCCTGGAAGGCAAAAGAACGTTGTTCGTATTACTTGGTTTTAACAGTGGGATTATGAGAACAGCTATGATTTTAATGTTTAGAAGTTTTCATTGTAGATACTGACCCGGACCAGATATGAGAGAATTACAATAGTCAAGTCTTGAAAGTACTAAAGAACAAATAAGTCTTTTTAAGTGGCATCAAAACAAAAGAAAAGCATGACTGGAGCTGATGCGTCTTTACTTCAGATATGCAACCTTGCATTCGTTCATCACATGACGATGTAATGACAGAGAACTGTCAAGATTAAACCCTAGGTTAATCTGAAGTTTATACGTGTCAGTAACGCTTTCTCTTTGGAAATGTACCTCTCTACATTATGGCTGGTATTTTCATTTGGGTCTTTAGATGTATATATATATAAATATACCCAGCATACAATTGGTGAGACATCAAATGTCGATCTATGACACTTGAGAGCGTGTATAAAATAAAGAAAACTGGGCCGAGAACAGACCCATATAGAACACCAAAACATAAATCAACTGGACTGTGACTTTTTATATTTACGGACACAATTTGTTTTCTGTTGACTAAGTAGGACTTGAACAATCATAAGGATGTATCGTGAATACAAAGTACATGCTGTAGACGGTAATATATCAATGTCTATTGTGTCAAATTCCGTATACAAGTCCAAGAGGGTAAGGATTGTAAATATTTTAACTATTCAAGGCAGGGAAAATATATTTAACTACTGTCATATGACTTTAGGGCGCTTTTCATCACAATTATATGTATGGAATCCATAGAAGCAGCTTCAAATACTTTTTGATGGTTGCCGTTGACTGTATTACTATATGGTGACGATGAGTCAATTGAAATTTTATCAAGCTTATCTCTAATAGACAGAACTTTGTCACTGAACATATTTGCAAACTGATCAGAAAGGACGACCAGAGAGAATGTCGCTCGAAGTGATGTATATTTATTCTTTGACATTTGTTTCTTAAACAAACATACCTGACACTACTTTTTGAAATATAAACATGTATACTTGATGTACTCAGGTTTGCACAACTCCTTCAAAGACACATACAGCCCTGGAATTAACCATAGTCCCTGCTGGATAAAGACTAAGAAAAACTCACCTTTTGTATATGATGTCTCACATAGGTGATACCTTCTACGCTCTTCCAGGCATACATGGTCAATAACTATAAATGTTATTCCACAATAATAAATATATCTTGCCTTCGTGACAAGTTTCAAAGATGTAACTGCTGTAGTATGTAGTCCTTGTGAACAAACTGTACAGTTGCCCGGTAAATTAAATAGCCTACATTACATGGTTCTGTTTATAGCTATTTATATAGTGTAACCTTGACATTGTGTACATGGTGTTATACCCAATGAATTACACAACACTGCAAAGGCGGGTGATACGTAAAACGCATACTTACGACGAAAATATTGTAATAAATGTATATTTATATCATTTACCTATACAGACAGACCGTCACGATGTTAGAGGTTATAGTATACTGTCGTTATGACAGCTTTGTTTGGGTGCCTACACAATATACAACGAAGGACATCGTAAAATATTTTTCGACGCTGACGACTTAGAAAAGTGTAAATTTATTTTTCTGGTTTTATTTGTCGGGAATTTCTCTTCATGTGTCCCATGTACATTACTTGACTTTGACATTTCTACTCTTTTAATCTAACCCATCTCCAGTTTCTCTCACCAAGGGTATATATATATATTTGAACACATGTTCTTGTTTGGGGGTTTTGCGTCTTATGGGGAGGGTGCTCTGTTTGGGGTCACACTGTAGCGTTCCAGCGTTCCATATCATATAATAACTGATTATTACAATTCTTACTGAAAAGTCATCTTGTTTTATAAATGTGTATAAAATGTATCCCTGCTTAGCATGAGTGGAATTTTCAAGATCTACTTGATAGCTGCATTCGATAGCATCACATACAAGATTGACTGCGATCTTTAGTGTGATTGCGACAATACCTGGTGAAATATAATGACCTCCATTGTAGGGATCATTGTTGTGCTTGAAGATGTTTGCCGGTGGGGCTATTTTTCTCCATGATTCTAATATCGCTGGAAAATATTCATCGATGATATTGACGGCTTTTGTCAACTCTTCGTCGGTAAATCAGGGTAATGCAAATCTTGTTAATTCTTCTCCTGTTATCGCGTAGTGTCTTAGAAAAAAAATGTATTTGAATGTTACCGTGTTGGGGGATGGAAAATCAAAGAATTCTTTATTCTCAACAATCACTGTTTCAATGATAATTTTGTTGATATAATTGAGGTCTGATGCAACGTGGTTTTAGATGTTGTATCGTTTAAATGATCTGTTGCTTTATATCATCGTTGTAATATTGTGCGACACTGGAAAATAAATTTTGTAGTTTGCTGCTTACTTGTTGGTGTTCAAACTTAGTGTCATCGAAAAATGATCTAAAAGCCTCTTCGTTGAAGATCAGCTTCTCATTATCAAATCTAACTATAGGGAAGTGAAATTTATGAAGTATTGTACCATCAAAATCAATGAAAGTAGATACATTATCAACGGAAATATCAATATTCTTTCCCACCCACAACCTCCATGGATATTCTTTTCTGCGAGTGCCATTAACGATGTCGCTAAGATGGGTGGTATATTTTCACTTCTTGGATCTGTACCAGCGTTGATAACCGCTGAAGCCCCAGCTCTTGTAAAAGCAGCTGAACTTGGTGCCGTTGAAATTGCTGCTGGGATGGCATTAAATAAAGCAACAGGTCACGGAATCAAGACTTCCAATAAAAAAGAAAGATCTAAGACTGCTAGGTACGGTCGAGGTCTAAGACTTCCTGGGACACTTCCAATTTCGATTTAATTGATGCTGCTAAAAAATAAACATCAAAAACTTCAAAGGTGTTTTTATGCGTGATCAATTACCAAAACAACCATACAGTATTGAAACCGGTATCATTAATTTAGAAGTTCTGTTCCAAATACTCATTGAGTTGCATACGCGATTGATCCACGTGGAGTAGTTTAATTCGATTCGTATGGACTGGCACCACCAAAAGAATATTTAAGGTATGTCAGCAGAATATAAAGCACTCCGCATCAAACTCCCGTCAGGTGTTCATTATTACCTACACAGACATTAACCGATCCGACAATATGTGAAAATATACCACTCATCTTGGCGACATCTTTAATGGCACCCGCAGAAAAATTAGAACTATCGCCGGTCTTTGTTTGGCTTCATGTAAGTGCCTGAGTTGACGTTCTGTAAGAGATAGTGTATTTAGACCACTTGCGATATGTTCTGAGTTCGGTAATATTTTTATTCCACAGTTCCTTTCCTTTATATGCTGATTGTTTCTTTTTAATCTCACCAGGAGTAAGACTGACACTAAACATTATGATAAGACAATATAATACCATGAGCGACTTAATTACATGTTTTCCACTGTTGCATCAATGACTCGTTCGTCCACCAACACCTTCAAGCAGCATTGTTTTATATGAGAGTATAAGTAATTGCTCTATAACCACGAGCTCAGAAGTGTAAATCAACAACTGATTGTCTGAACAAATCCAAAGTGTTCCAGTGAGAAATAATAGATCGGATATGATGTTTTGAAGTACCGCTGAGATATCTGCAAACCAGAGTCAACAATCTGATCACGCCGCATGAATGTCATTAACTGATACGTACAATTTTTTTTTCAAACTTAGCAATACTTCTTCAGACGGTCTTTGATGTCCATTTATCCTGAAAGAAACTTCACTAACTCCAAGCGTGTCTAACACAACTGGATTTCGTTCCTTCGAATCTACTCTGGCATTTTCCTGTAACGCGATGAATATATGTCGTAGTGATGACAGCCATTGCTGTAATGCTATCTGCCATGTGAATAACCCAGCAACATTACTTTGAATACTGTCTGTGGTCATAGTTAATCATGATAATGTTGATTTACCACCATGATTCATAAAAGAGAGCAACCGTTGTTCTTCATTCAACGGTGGAGTCATTGTTGGCATACACAACGAAAGTTTTGTTATCATCACTTTACCTGCATCAACCCCAGCTGCACACCATATATTGCATCATTGTCGATGGCTTTTCTAAAAAGTACGACGGTGTGTTTAGCACCAAATGTAACTTTTCTAACATGTTTGCAGAATCCAAAGATGTGACAGTGGAATTACACGTGAAAATTCGTCATTGCCGTTCAGCATTGATTTACGTGATGCGAATCCCAAGTTGAAATTTTCATTCATTGATGAAGCTGCATTCAGTGTTGTTATTGCTTTCGAGATGATCAGTGATATCCTTTGCAAACATCATTGACCGACCAGCTGATCTCGAGCAATCATCGCTATATCTTGCAAGGCAAAATATCGTCGTGGTAACATCAACATTTTCGAGACACTTAAAATATCTTTTATGTCAATCATGTATGTGACACTATTAAAAGACGCCATGACACCATTATTAACATAACCAACTCGATCACTAATTTCGTAATCTGTATTATCTGCTTTCAAGAGTCGACCTTTAATCTCAGTGAATGCCTCAGCGGGTAGGAAATATCTACTTCTATCCTGAACGTGCTACTCGATTATTCCACGTTGAGTCAGGTACAAGTGCTTCATAAGAATAATATTGACCATCGTTCACAGACTCATTCTTGAGTACTGATGCATCCATGTCAAATGCTGGACCAGATATACGTTTGAACATTTTATTATCCTTCTTATGGTCTTACACAAAGACCACTTCCTGCTGTCAGACTAGCAGTTGTATTATTTCTTTTTCTGACAAGATTGCGTTATCTTTTTTACACCCTTGAGAGGGCCACCCCAAGAGATTATATATATTGATGCTAATTGATTTCAGTTAATGTATAAGAATCATGTTCTTGCTAGTTAAAAGTCATGTTATGATTTCAACTTGTGTATTACATCATTCCCTTATGCCTGCTAAAAGTATGTAATGATTTCAACATGCTTGACATACTAATGTCTTCTGAAATGCTTAAGAATACACACAAAATATTTTTTTGTAATAAACAACTTCTAAAATGCCAAGAGTTGCATCCCTTACCACACTATTCTGTTAATTTTGGTTAAAAGCTGATAATCTGCATTGTACATTGACCACTATTCACTGTAGCTAAATGCATTATCAGCTAGATTAGAAACATGCATTTATATAAGGTAAGTTATTCTTTTAATTTCTAAGGATGCCATGGGCACATATACTCCAAATTAATGAAATAATTCAAATAACAGATAATTTTGTACAATTACTCTTAATGCTTTCTGTGGTGAATTGGCGACTCCAGGATGCATGCATTAGCTGATCAAAACGCACATGAAACATGCCTATATCAAACTGAAATTTGTTTACATGACACAGTTTAGAAAGGCAGCTTCATCAATATTTTCCTTTTCTTTTCAATGTCCTCTCACTTCTAAATCATTTTGAACTTTTCCAGTGTAATCCATAATGCTATGACAAATAACATTATTTGCAGTCTCAAACAATTGACTTAGTAATTATAAGCAGAGAAAAACAAATTATGATAATAATCATGCTAATCAAAAGTTTAGATTTAATTGAACCAACAGGAAACCAGCACTAAGATTCCTCTCGTTTGTTCATCTCACTTGTGATTTTGTGCTATTATATATGATGTGCAAACAATTTCAAATTATTTCAGTAGATCTATTGCCATTACTGTTTTGCAGAACTCTGCTCAAGAAAACACAACTCTTCATATTAGTTTTAGTCAGACTAGTTAAGTTTTTTTTTTTTTAAATGGTTGTAATTTATAGTATTAATTTAATGGATAACTAAAGTATGATCACAATGTAAACTATTTACAAAGTCTGTTTACGTATAGGATTTTAACAACCTACAGAATATACTGGTAAGAAATCTTTGTCACAGTGAACAGCAGTAATATTAATAGCAGAATGATATCAACTGTATCAATTAAAATGCCTTGATGTTGCGGAGCTCTATTAAAGTTTGCTTTTATTGGTCTGCAGTTCTTTTTATCAAGAAGTTGTAAGTTTATATTGTTTTGAATTTGAAGCCACATTTAATGGTTGATCAACTGAACAAACTTGAAAAAGAAAGATTATACCAGAATGCTACCTGACCAATCTGACAGGAAATGGAAGAAGAGTTTTTGCAAATAACTTCAGCAAATATTTAGAGATACATTCCTGATGATGACGTACATAGAACTAAACCATGCTCTCACATGGCCTGATGTACCAATTAGCCAGAAATTACAATGATTTTCATTGAATGAATGCTCATCACCACAAATTGTTTTTTAACCAAAGATCTAAACAGGTGTGTGTGTGAGTGTTTGTGTGTACACATACATGTTCATACTGTTTAGAAGTAAAAACAAACTGATTTAGCCCGATGCAGGCATCGGATAACTGACAACACAATTGATACAAAACACTTAAATGTTGTCAGATGATTCAAAGTATTAATCAACTGGGTTAGTTAGGCCAATATTGTCAGATAACTCATAGTATGGGTCAACAGTGCTAGTTATGTCTGTGTTGTCCAATGATTCTTTGTAAGGATCAAATCACTCTAAGCAAAAGTTAGCAAGAGTTAATTGAGTTAGTAATGTCTGTGTTGTCAAATGACATAGCATGGGTCAGCTTGGTTAGTTGTTCCCATACTGTCTGATGACTACAACTAAATCTAAACATCAATAACTTTGCTCTGACCATGTTTCTACACAAATACAAGTGAGTGCATGTCAAAATATATAACCACCCCTGGTGGCCTAGTGGTTAGAGTGTCCGCCTCAGATGTGGGAGGTCGCGGGTGTGAGCCCTGACCAAGTCATACCATTGACTTATAAAAATGGTACTAACAGCTGCCTCGCTTGATGCTCAGCATTAAGAGGTTAATGTTAGGAATGGTCAGCCAGGTGTCGGGATAATGTGACTGGGTGGGACATCATGCTACATGTCTGCTGAATGATGCTCCAGTGCTAGACATCACTGTAAACTGTCACTACAGACATTGTAGTGATATCACTGAAAAAGTGTTAAAGCTATGTTAAAAATCTCTAACACACACAAACAAAATATATATGGAAAACCTTGGAGTGCAGAATTTAAATATAACAACAAAAGATGTGTTTTCAGCAATTTGATAGCATGCGCTTGGTATGATTTTGTATTACATACTTTGTTAGCATGCATTTGGTGTGGTTTTTGTATTACATACTTTCTATTCATCAACCAGATGAAGGCTACATCAAGTGTGTTGTACACTAATCCGAACTCTTTCACTTCAAGTGCACAGATCAAGATCTTAAGTTCACACAACTACATATGCAGCAGATGTAATGGACAACACTGCTGTAATAAATGTTTAAAAAAAGAATTTAAAACAAGCAAAACTTCCAGGTCTCTCCCTGATCTTTTACTGTAATTTTAACATAAATATAATGCTCAACAAAAGATGTGGTCAGCAATGCATGCATAATTATATTTAAATAAAATTCGGAAAAGTAACAAAAAAATCAACACAACAGATAAAGCAGCATTAATATGAAAACAAAACATTTACAAAGTTAAATTTTCTTTCTATGAGATTATGAGATTTATGTTCTAAGAAAACAATCTTGCTAATATTAAATAACATACATAAACAAGGATTGACTAGCTGTATTAAATTATCAGGGTTTAATCCACATGCCTCTCACAAATCTCTTATAAAAGATCAAGGAATATTTCCTAATTTTGAACCTTTTTGACCTATTCCTTCACCATCATCTTACAGTGTCACACGAAAAATGCTGCTCTCTTGGCTTTTTAAGAAAAGTTTGGATACGCCAACTAAACTGGGTTTCAGTTCAAGTTTATTGTTTCAATTTAGCTCTCCTAAGAGATGCAAATTCTAGCCGCCCTGAACTTTGTGTAAAATCAGTGCACTTGCGATCTTATTTGTACATTATTTGTGAAATCAACTAAGCATATGCCTGATAATGGAACAAAAAGTAGCACCATCAGACGTTTATGTATAAAGAACTGGGAAGATTGTTTACTCTTTACCAGTAATTTAACTTTTGTGGTAAATTAGGCAATTTATAAACACTTAGAAGTTTCCACAGCATGATATAGCAGTAAAACATTATCATATCCGAATGAGAAAAATACAGTAAATTCCCATGCATAACTCAGTAAAATTCAGTATTTGTAGAATCTGATTTATTAAAACAGAGATTTACCTATAAATAAATTACAAAAGCATTAATTAGTAACAATATGGGATTTAGATGAACCAATTGGAGATACTGTCATTCATGGCTAGTTAAATATTAACAACATATACAAACAACAGATGTTAAGCATTTGTAATAAAAAGGAATGAAAATATGTAATACAGCAGAAAATAAAACAAACTGAAATCGTTGAAAGAGTACTGCAAAATATGCGTGCATGCTGATATTTATTCAACAAAAGTTGAGAACTCAATGGAATTAAATCAAAGTTTATAAGATTGTTAGGGCAATATGATTATAGTATTGTGGTGATTGTACATGAACAATTTCTAGAGTGATTCCACAATAAATATCATTATATATTATATATGTTAATCTTATTAACCTTTGTCACCTTCACCTGGTCCAAGTCCCTTCAGATGACTAAACAATTTGCAAGACAACAAAGTTGCCTCCCCATGTAAAATTAACAATTTGCCTGTGATCAAAATATGACACAACATATAATGAATTTTGTTGGATTCACTGGTGTGATCAGGCATGAGCCCCTCCAGTTTTGCAAGTAAACTCATAGTACTGGAATCAGAAAAAGTTTTAAATATTTACCACTGTGCCCCTCTGACAAGAGAGTATTACTCTAATGAGGCCATATTTCATTATTAACAAGGACAGCCTTATGAGAGTGAGACAATGTCACTGAGTTTTAGTAGATGAATACTTACTGCCATCCACTTTATGACTTTGTAGATACATTTACCAAAATGTACATTTACCACTTCATCTATAGAATAATTTACTGGCAGATATAATAAATAGCTAGGATTGGGGAGGGGGAATTTACTGAGAAGCATATCAACTAACTATTCTTATCCTTAAAAGAATCTAACATGATTTATTTTACAAGAAACTTTTCTACAGTAATAAATAAATGTATCAAAGTATTGAGAATACTGATGGTTTGGAGGGTTCTTGATTTATGCTACATTAAACTTAATTAAAGTGATAGACATAAGGTGTGAGATATTGAGCATGTTGTTATTTGCTATGACCAGAATCAAATACAACATCCCACTAAAAGCATGTAATCTTAATTAAAAATGCTTTACATCTTTTCTTATTTTTATCTCTTAACAGAGACTTGATTAGGAAGTGCATATTTGTAAAGAAAATAATCAATTACCTTTCATCAGCTTTTCTTTATTGAAATGAATTTTAAAACAACTGGAATGAGAATGGCCAAACACGAACAACAAAAGGGTAAACTTAGTATTTAAACAAATACAAGTGAAAAAAGACAAGTGCTTCTATTTCAAATGAAATGGACAGTTACAAAATAAAATATCTCTATCTCTTAAAAATCAGATTCCTAGAATCTATATAGAGACTGCATGATAAACAGAGAACCTTACAAATCTTTATTTCATGTAAAATCTAATCAACACCTTAAACAACATTATATATCTTGCAATGATTGAAATATTGCATTATTGGACAAGTTCCAAAACATTTCATGACAAATTAATGGATTACAAGTCAATCTTTCAATAACATTAAGGGCTTTTCATTACTTAGTAATATTGTTATGACGCACTGTACAGTATTATGACATAGTATCAAATAATTTTATATGATGTTGGGGCTTAACATCTTTTCTCAGTACAAGATAGACTATTACATATTATGATCAGTATAAATAGCAAAATATCAACCCAGAAAAACACCAGTAAGAACCACCAACCCACAGGAAGTAACTGGCAGCTTTCTCATATACTCGCATGGGAAAAGGTTATTGAAGATGAAGATTATGTGATAAATTGCAAATAATAAATTTCTCAAGAATTATATTTAGTAGACTTTGTTCAATAAAACAATATATGATATACTTAAATGTTTAATATAGAAACATATTGGCATAATAACTTTCACATTTTTTAATTCCCACATTTCCACATGTGAAAAAGATAGAGGACATCACAATTCTGCACTAATGTGAATTTTCTTTTCTCAAAAATGTGCACCATTTGTTGTAAAGTACTACAGGTATACAATACTGTATGGGTGATACGAAGCAACAGGTCAAATAAGTTCAGTCACTATCAGCTTCCATGATTCATGTAAAAATTCAATTTTACTACAGCAATAAATTAAGTCTACTTTTGCTGCTTGGAGTTCATTTTTGAGCATTCTTGACTTTACCTTACCAATTGCATAAGTGTAAACTATGGGTGTATGCTTGCTACAGTTTAAGATCTGTACCTCCAGATCAGGAAGAATCAAGAGAGTGAGTGGGAGAAGAACAATCAGCAGAAGAAAAATTAATCAGACTTGAATATGGTCATACAGGTATGAATAACCTATATAATGGCACCTATATTTCCTGAATGGGGGAAAAGTTCCCAAACTAATACTGCCTCTGTGGCAACAAACTTAGTATTCTCCCACTGATATAAAGCTTTATAATCTCCCATGTGAAAATATATGATTTCTTATCATGCCTATAATTTTCTCGTGAGCAGCTGGTGTTGTAAAATATCACTTGACATCTACAAAATTAATAAACAATATGCTGACTACCAGTCTAAGCTTGATCACTGTCAATCAGACACTTGTCTGTTCTACATCATACCTAAAACTAAGCATCAATAGTATGAGATTACCATATGTTCTAGATGCTAATAGTTCATGTAAGAATGGGCTCACTGGCAGAAGGCAAGAATCAAACAGAGAATTTGTCTGTGGCAAATCTTGTTTTACCACAGGGCATTAAAACCAAGGTCCAAAAAGGATGTAAATTATTACATAAATAATCATATATGGACTTCACTGGTTCACTAGAAAAAGGCTTGGTCATGAGTTGAGTAAGACGAGGTCATTTATGTTTTGTTTAGCATATACAAAATACATAGAGGCAGCCAATCATTTAGGCACATTATTCACATCCAATTATTTTACTGACAAATAGATTGCACAAGAAACAAGCAAAGAGTATGTTACTTGCACCAGAAAGGTTATATAAAGTAAAAAATAACACACCTCTCAACCTTTAAGACCATGAGTCCCTTAACAGATTGAGTGCATAAAATATTTACTATGACAGGGAGACCAGGACTAGTTTATTTATGTCCTGAAAATACCAGTGTCCACTGACATTTTGTCTGAGAACGTACAGTATTTGATACATACACTCTGAAGGTAGTATGAGTTTTCTCTGACCTTCCCCAAGACACATTAGATATTTTGAGAAAAAAATGTAAAAATATCTTAAAATGAGTAGGGATCTCTGGTAATCTGTCAATTAAATGGTTACTTTCAGGGCTTCTGACTGGTTTTATGCATTTTTCCTAACTTTTTCACTGAATGAGTTTTGAATGGCTAATTTGATCTATTTTTTTTTTAGTGTTTAATATTTTTTGATAACTTTAATAGTTTAATTTTTAATTAACTATAGAAAGAGGATCCACCAACAGAATGCACAATCCCACGATATGAAAATTTTAAAATATGAAAGAAAATATTTATATGATTGCATATGCAATAAAGTAATTGTGGGATTTTGAGTTTTTATTGTTCTTTTTATTTTTACAGTCCTTTTTTAATGTTCATGCACTGTCAT